TTCTACTCACCAACAGACTTGTCTGTAGGCAAAATCTCATGTCGAAATACCGTCATTCGATTTATTGATATATACCATCCTGTAGTCTAAAATTTCAATAAAATGGTTATAACTCTGAACAGAAGGCTCACGGGCACTTATCCTTTTGAGGTTTTTCATATCTCACTAGGGTCTACCTTATGTACGAGATACGAACTGCAAAGCGATCCAACAGTTGAAGAGGTTCTCTCGTAAGCCATTAACGTTTTTTACATAATAGACACCAATATTTTGCACATGTAACAAATAATTTAGCTTTTAAAGCTATCTGTATATACAAAGAAAAATATTTATCTGTCTGTCTACTTGTTGGTTCGTTATACATTCAGTCCCTGTAATAGCTAGCGTCATCAAACTTTCCATCACACTTCCCTAGGCCGAGAGGAAGACTAAGAGGTGGTTGGCATTATTGACAGAGGGGTGCGAGGGCTGGGCGAAGTTTCACCCAGATGCTTCTCCGTGAGCTGATATCATTAAACTCTCCAAGACACTATTCTAGATCTAGGAAAAAGTCGAGACTAGGTTGCTGCGAGCAAAAATGGTAGGAAACCGGACATGGGCGAAATTTCACCCGACTTCGATCACTAATTATTATCAAGTCTTAGAGTATTCATGTACTACTACGTTTTCACGCCGATGTGGATGTCTTACACGGAAGTGAGGGTAAAGGCAAGTGAAAAGGAACATACTCTTCTTCATACGATATTTGCTATATTATCGTGCTTTATTGTGGACGTGAGTGCATTGACCAGAGAGGAGCAACTTTACCCCGAAATTTATGGTTTTTCAAATGTCAATTGAAGCGGAGATAAAGTTGGCATGAAACCTGTAAGAGACGGAGTGGATTCTGCAGCGGAACTTGCGTTGGAAGGAGTGGATTTTTCAGCGAGACCTGTAAGAGAAAGAGTAAGTTTGCAGCGGGACCTGCAAGAGAAGAATGGATCCAGAGTGCTATATGGCCTGAGTTGTCCTGTCATGCATGTACATGGCGGAATATATTGTACTAATATATGAAAACTTTCGACAATATCCCTCCCTGCATGCTCTGTCGTTTTCTAGCGTATGAAGTTTTCGATCAGGAAGTATCTAAACCAGCATCGGGTATTTCCACTAGTATTTAATATTAACCTAGTTTTGTGCTCCGAGCAAGTTTTTAGAAAAAATTTGTTTTAAGACTATCATCAACTTAGGATGACGATACATATGCAATCTCTTATTTCATCCACACCTACATCAGAAAGATACTCGTAAAAGTACATTCATACTATCATTTTTAAGATAACTTGATAATACATTATTGTAGTGTCTATATATTTATAGGTCAACTCAATCTGTCACCATCAGCTAGCTGGCTTCTGAATGCGACTACAGTCGCAGGATCTTCGGCTTGCGCTTCGGGATCGACTTCTTCGCTTTTAAACACAAATCTGGGCATACAAATAGTCAATAACAATACTCT